TCAAATGGCAGGCGTTTTGATGGTTATCATTAGCCCTTTTGTTGACTTCAGGCTTCACAGAGGGGAAGGAACATCAAAGTGAAAGAAAGTCGAGAGGGGGTGGGGGGGGGGGACAGAAGAGTGTTTTAAAGGTAGAAACGGTAGAAAAAAGGTGAGGTGAGTACTGTGGAGGTAATCGTATATGACATACAGTGGGGTGACGGTAGTTTGAAGTCTGAAGTCAACTGCCTAATAATAGACTTTTTGCGGTATGAGTATACGTTGCCCAGGGTGCACCACGTGGAGGTAAGTCTATCGCACACCCCATTTCTTAAATATTATATTATAATGTGAGTAACATTCAGTTTGGTGACATAAAATATCAAAACAATGTACCAACACCCATTTAAATTTTTCTTCAGGTATCGTCCATAGATCTGAAATGCTTTTCAGTTATTTTTTTGAGTTATTTACTTGTCTACTTGAATATATAATCGGTCAACAGTTATTATTTTTAAATAATTTATTAATCACATTCAAACAACCAAATTCTTATTAGTTTGAGTCCCCAGGGTAGACCAAGATACGAATAAAGCGGTGTTTTTTATTTAATGCTTTTTACAGCAATATCAATTTAAAATTTACACATGAGTCAAACCAAAATGAATGTCAGGAGTTGTTTAGCATCTTTTTGCCTTAGACATGGGGGACACGTTATCGCTCTGAGCGCCATCGTATGCCTGCATGTCTGCTCGCCAGGATTGGGAGGTGCGGCCGTACAACTCTGTGTGCAGCGACCGTACAACAGTGACCAATTATCAACCTCCATTTGTTTAACCTAATCCCCCATCCTGATCCTGAGTAGCTTCCTGCGTGTACACACTTCATCCGCAATACCCATTCTGAATAAACGTGTTCCGTGCTACACGTCTGTTTCCTTTGTAGCTGGGCTATGGCTTAGCTAGTTCTGGGAGTCTAGCTAGATGTAGGAGAATCTGCCATAGAGATTTCTGAGTCAGTCAGGCCTTAATAAGGTGTTTAGCTGGTTCTGGGAGTCTAGCTAGATGTAGGAGGATCTCCCATTGAGATTTCTGAGTCAGTCAGGCTTTACTAGCGTAGCCAGAGATTTCTGAGTTAGTCAGGCTTTACTAGAGTAGCAATATTTCTGAGTCAGTCAGGCTTTACTAGCGTAGCAATCCGTGGAGCTATAGCTTAGCTGTTCTGGGAGTCTAGCTAGGTGTTGGAGAATCTGCCATAGAGATTTCGGTCAGGCTTTACTAGCGTAGCAATCCGCTACAATGCAATCCGGTCAGGCTTTACTAAGGTAGCAATCCGTTACAATTCTCAACCGGTCTGGCTTTACTAAGGTAGCAATCCGCTACAAGTCTTTAACCAAGGCTTTACGAAGGTAGCAATCCGCTACATGTTCGAGACTTATAAAGTAGCAATCCGCAACAGACTCAACGAGTTCGTACGATATGCTTCAAACCATTTAAGTGTGTGTTGTCATTTTAAAAGGGACACAACGTCACCTCGAGAAGAGTAATGGGGTTCAAGCAGTGGAGTCTTTATCCTTGCCAATTGCTCGTTTCATAAATTCCTTCCAATGTTACCGGGGTGATTTAATGGAGCAAAGAAATATGGAGTCAGAGTTTAGGCCACTGTTGCAATAAATGATCATTAGTTTATGGATTTCTCTAACAGAAAGTGATTGCAAATTTTCTTGAGATGGAAATCAAATCTATTCTTGAGAAATTAAATGAATATAGTGGATTAGCTTACGTGTACAATTAAGTGACGTTCGATTTGTTTTTTTGCCAATTTAGTGCCTTTTCAGTATATCTATTATGCTTCGAATTGTAATGTAAGTCCAGATGAGAAGAATGTTAACCAGGATAACGAGCTAACTGAATTCATTCAATTTATATCCATTGAACCCTAGTTCCACCTCTACCACTCACGCACATTTCTACTCTATTTCATCGCTTTCCCTAATCAATAGGACGGTCTTTTGCCAAAACCAGTTTCTTCAGTCAATCGGCCATTCCAACTCAAAAAAACGAGAGCATAGGCCTATCACTTCTACTAGAGTAGCAAGACTTAGACCAATACAAGATTTTTAAATCACCTTTCCATACCTTCCACTTACTTCAAGTTTCGCTCCTTCCCATGCTAACACAAAGTCGAAATATCACAGAAAAATGCCGACACAATGAGATAGAATTTAAATAATTAAGATGGAGGATTGGAAAAAGAAATAAGTAGAAACTTTTATGCAGGTATTGGCCTTGAAAATAGTTTTTTAAATAAAGCGAAAGAGGGGCTATTGAAACAATGAAGACGTGAAACAACACTGTGGTTTTTAGAATTTGACGAGTGATTTTGAATGTAGTCAAGAAGAATAAAATGCTCTTTCCGAAGATAAATTTGTTGGAAATTGAGTAAGCTCATGGTGGAAAAGAAGGCTAAACCGTTTTCAGTTCCATTTAACTTTTCCAAACTCCCTGAAAAATGAACTGTCGTATTCCAGGAAACGAAAGCACCATTCGAGTGAAAAGAATATATCTTTCCGAAAAGTACATTTCGGGGAATATATTGGTGGAGGGGTTTGAAAACGTTTAGTGTGAGGTTATTGTGGCAAAATGAAGAATTCAGCAGGTTTAGTAAGGCACTGAGAGATCGCTTAACATTATTGACCGCCAATAGCACATTTTCGCTTGAATTGAAATTCACATGATATGAATCAAGTTTCAAGAACTTTTGAATGAGTTTCTTGGGGTTTTCAAGATCGCGAACTGTCACCAATCCTGGCTGGATATTGTCAACGGCCAAATAGCTATAAAAACTTAAGGCAAAACAAGCCGTAACATTAATAAACTTGTTTTCATTAGTAGAAATAAAATATGCATTAATTTCGTGCTTCTTTGGATTAAAGTCAATTTTGTGGATGCCTCCATTAAATGAGACATCCTTCATCTCATCCAATTTTACCATCCATCCTGACGGCAACTGTATGGTTACCACAAATGCTCTGGACTCTGTTGAGCGCACACATATTTCCTTTTGATTCACGGAACAAGTAGCATTTCCGTTGTTTTCAAAATGGTCACTAGAAATTTCTAAGTTAAAGGGTGAGTCTTTTTCCAAAGGTTCAAGTACATTGTAAATAGTAGTAAATTCTGTCGATAGGCACACGAAATTGGAAGTCACGATGTCAACATTAACTTCTGAAATGCTCGTGATATTGGAAGAGTCGATTTCAAGTGAATGGACCTTATAAAGGTCGGTTTTATCTATTTCCATTCGGATATTAAATGCATTCTTTGGTTTTGACTTGATTGTGATTAGTTTTTTAGTGAATGGAGAAAGAAAATCTTCAGATAGCTTTAGCATGACCCGAATCGAAATGGCCGAATCTTGATATGAATAGAAACCTTCATGCTCATCGTGTTGTTGTACTAACCATCTTAATACAGCAAGTCGGTCTTTCGGTGATAAATTTTCAGTTCCAATGCTTAGAACAGCATAGGCGGTTGTTTCAAGATCCTTCAAGTTGTTGACGCCTCCAAAAGATCGCCAACACATTGTTGTTGCACTAGATTCAGCCCGGCGTTTTAACTCACTCAAAAGTCTCCCACATTTAGTAGAATTCGAAAAATAGCAAGAATCCTTTAAAGCGTATAACACTCTCGCGAGAATATGCGTCGACATTTTGCTGACATGATTCATTTCTATCATTCTTTCAACACAGTTGGAAGCCCATTCGATAGCTTTCTCATATTTTTTACTTTTTAGCTGTTTAATTTCGGCACAAGCAGTATTCAAAGCGGAAAGGATATGCGTAGTCAACAACAATTTGCCATCCGATTCCTTCTCGTTCGTATCTCGCTTCTCCCAAAAGCAACCTTTCGCATCTTGTTGACTAGCCAAATAATCAAAAGTTGTGGATAAAATTGAGTTAATGTTGAGAAATTCACCAGAAAGAGCTGCTAGTGGTAATTTGGTGGCTTCACTAAAAGTCTGAAATACGGAAGCAGTGAGCCAAAGATTCTCCTTATCTCCATGTCTTTCACCGAGATTCGAAAATCCTCCCGTCTTTGCATGATAAAACTGCTCCTGTTTGTCGAGTCCGCGAATAATATCGTGTACAAATGTTCCAATTAATTCTTTCCCTCTTGCAGTATCTCTAAGCTGATTTTGAAGTATATAACGAAGAATGTGGATGCTTGGAGTAAAGGAAGCAAGATTACTTCTTCCAAAACCGGTAGGCAAAGAAGTCCCTGAATTCAGGTTATTTAGAACTAGAGTTAGTGGACTAACGCCAAACGCCAAGTACGAATGGAGGGAACCAGGAAGTAAACGTTCATTTTGCAAGTTGGGCCTCATTAAAGATCCTCCTAATGAGAAAATGAAGAAAAAAGGATGTTTTATTTATTTTCTCAATGAGAAAGACACGTCAAGAAAGATTGCAAAAGTATCAGAATTTCCTGAGGAAGAGCTTTCATATGTAATTCTGAGGTTACATTTAGTCGCCCCAGTTAGATGTGAGTCTAGTTTTATAAAAAAATCCTTTATACCTATTGTGATTACGTTGGAATCCTGGGGTGTGCGATAGACTTACCTCCACGTGGTGCACCCTGGTCAGTTGACTTCTGACTTCAAACTACCATCTCCACACTCTATGTCATATTCGACTCCTTCCACAGTACTCAACTCACCTTATCCCCAACCTTTGTGTCTGTCTGTCTGTCTCAAAGATGTTAACATCTTTGAATCACTCTTCTGTTCCCCCTCTCCACTTTTTTCTCACTGGATGTTCCTCCCTACTGTGAAACCCGAAGTCAGTTAAAGGGCTAATGAACACTATCAAAACGCCTGGCACTTTAAAAAGATGTTGGTATCCTTCATAGTGTTTATTTCAGCTAAGAATTTGGTCTCTAATCAGGGTCAAAGTAATATTCAAAGGCATGCATGAGCTTTTATCTTCCAATTAGTACTGTCTTATTAATCAAGTTGATTTATAATTAATGTCATTTATCCCAGTATACCTTCAGCTTTGTGATAAAATTGGCCACTTTAATGGGAACAAAATGAATAATACGAAGACTTACCCTCGGAGGAGCATAATATCCTATGCGATGTTATTTTCTTTTCAACACCCTCTGAAGTCACCTGCAGAGTCCGTTGAACTGCGTCTTTTATTAAGAAATCAGCCTTCGCTTCTGTATCATATTTATAATTAAGTGGAAAATTATTGCGTTTGCCCACAACTTTGGCGGTGATATTAAACCGACCAATACGAAGTGTTCGTACTGGTATTTGAAATTCAAATCTACTTTGTGTGGTACTATATCTGAAGCAAATGGTGGCTGAACGCGAAGAGGAACCGATAATTTGCAAACCTCGGTTATCCACCTCCAAACTAGCATGCAAATCATAGCAGCTAAACTTTGAAACATCAGTCATTGAAAGGGTTGTGATGATGTTTATTTTAAGAAGGAGGAGTTCACTTCTTTTTGCCGAGACTGGTGATGCCAAATCAATGTAGAAAGGCATTTGGGTGGTAAAATGTGGTTTAGCTTTAGGAGTCCATATACCGTGTTTACGACTGAAGCAAAATGCATTCACTTCCCAAGTATTCAAATAACTGGGGACTCTAAAAGTCTTGTTGAGGCTTCCATCCCGCAGAGACATTGGTTCGAGAAAAATGACTTCTGGGAACATCTTGAGGGCAGGTGTACCCTTATTCATATATAGGCTGATCCCTTCTTTCACTGGATCTGCTGCGGGAAATTCTGCGGCAGTATAAGGTCCTTCAACAGCTAACTGTCCTAGATAGCCTGAGTGAGTGCAGCCAGAAGGAAAAACTTCCGAGTTTTTCAACTTTTCTTTAGATAAAACTTGAATAAAAATAATATCAGCTGCACGAAAAGCGTCTTCTGTACCTTTGATGGATCCCTCCACATCAAGATTTCGATAACCTTTTAGGGCTTCAGAGAATGAATTAGACTTAATTCTGCAAGAATGTGGGTTATTTTCAATTGTCGATACACTTAGAAAGCAAACCATGGGATCCCTTTTATCTTCAGCACTTAAATTTATATTAATCCTTTCTCCAGGAATTGCTGACTGTTTTCCGATCTCAAGAGTTATTTTCCCTTCAAAAAGCTGAGATGAGGAACAGGGATAAAGTCTATCGATTTTTATGAAATCTGTTACCAATTTGCCGTTAATCAAAATGGAGGCAACAGCTCGAATCTCCGGGCCAAAATCATTGCCTAATTCCAAAGTGGCATTGTATATGTAAGTTACTTTTTTGGGAATAGGGTTCTCATTCATACGTGTATGTTCAAATCCAGATTTATGAGCACTTCTCCTTTCCCTTTCGCCTTCATCGCCCCGATTACGTTTCCGTTGCGGTTCTAATTCGCAGGTGTCCCCACTCCAACCAGGTTTACAAACACATCGTCTTGGAGCTGCACATGAACCGCCTCTGCCACAATCTCTTTCACAAACTGGAACAAGACAGTTTTCGCCCGTCCAGCCAATTAGACACTTAAGTGGATCGCTTACAGTGTCGTTATTATGGCTGTGGCCATTTTCATTTAGCAGATAAGAATCTACTGAATCAAGAGCAACTTTTTTTTTAAAAAGTTGGCCATTAGAAAGGAAGTGTAGCGTCATTGTTGTGTTTCTAGAAAGCTGTCGATTGGAAACCACTCCTAGAATAACTGATCTGGGACATGAGTCATTGTTTTTGCTTACTACGGTTACTTGAATAGCAGGACCCAGGCTATTGTCCCACAGATCCAAAATTTTACTTGCTGATAAATTCACTCGTCCTTTTGGTGGATCCGACCACGGATGTTGATTATTAGTGTCCAGAATTGAATTTGACAAGTCCACATTTGTATCATTCAATTTGCGTCGTTGTTGGACAGTGATGTATATTGAGTTTCCAGAATAATGAGGAGGCAGAGTGAAGCTGTACACTTCGATGTTGGGCTTCACAGAAATTAATCGCATGAGTTGAGTAGGGTTTTCCAGTAATGAAGTTTTCCAGCGGTTGCATGTATTCTTCACCTCTCGAACTATTATTTCCAGTTCTTCATTTTCTCCTCCACCTGCATTCCTATATATAATTTGTCCGGTGATTGGAATGCCACACTTGTAAGTATTTGTAATTTTGATTTCAAGTAGAGGCTCTGGCCATTTCTCTAATTTGCAGATTTCAGAGGCCACAACAATTTTTCTCGTATCAAATTCATAAATCTCAACAAATGTGCCTAGTTTTTCTGCCCAAAGAACTGTTTCCCCTCTCACCAGCTCGGAAATATTTACCGAGAAGTTTGAGCATTTTGCACCATTTAATATTCCAGCAATTTCCTTACAAAATCGAGTACGTTTGTTGAAGATGTCAACACACATGTTCATGTTAAACCGCTTACCCACCTCGTATTGCCTCTCTAAGATGTGTTGGTCGCATATACAAACTTGGGCAGTAAAAGTACCACGTACTGGCGATCCGTTCCTGTGCTCAGCACATACTTCAGCGATTACTTTGAAATCCTTCAAACGAATTATATCGGGAAGTGTTACTTTGGCACGAAACCATGGAGGAGTATAGGTCTTCACAAGTATTTTGATCACTTCGCTGCTCATTCTTGCTCTAGCTATGATCTTCCAATTGCCTTGTTTGGCGTTCATGGAAATCAAATAGGAGAGGTTGAAGGCTTTCACTGGATCCACATTTTCCCATCTCTTTTCGAGTTTACCAAGCGGATCTCTGACTTCAATTGAATCGAAGATGGGCAAGTTGTGATATCGCTTGCGTTCATCTGAGTTAATTAAAAGTGGAGATGCACTAACCTTGCCAATTTCAACGATTTTGAAAGCAGGCCAATACGATGACTCAGAATTGGCAAATATTTGTCTACTTGTAAGAGCAATGAAACGAAAGTGTACTTCTTCACCCGGTTGGTAGATTGTTTTATCCGTTTCGCCCATTATTAAGACGTACCTTCTTACAGTTTGAACATCCTTTTCCACCGTACGATTGACTATATTCTCCTTATTTAAGCAATTATCTTTGCGGCAGTACCAGTAAGTCAACTTTAGCGTAAATATTGTTGAAGGAGGAAGTTGGATGGGCATAAAATACCTTAGAATGTACGTGTTTCCGCTATCATCGACAGAGAGATTGCTTTTCATTTGAGCATAAACTGTATTTCCGAGATCTCCTATCTGGGTCTTGTCGAGGCAGATACTGATGCTAATCTTAAAAATAGGCTTCAACGAAGTTATAACAATCCTGTTTGAGATATCAGTGTAGAACTCGTTTGGGAGAAAAATGTCAACCGGGTTTTCAGCATCCACATATTCCACGCCATCACCAGGAATAAGGATAATTCCAAAGCAAGTAGCACAGGATAGAATCAAAAGCAAACATGCAGACATTCTTTATTTACGCCTGTTTACCTTATTTCCGTATATAAATATGGTGTTTATTGATCACTCATTGGTTGTGTGGTTTAATTGGTGATTAATTATTAATAAATTCAAGTAAACAATACTGGCGCTTTCCTTCTGATAATTATTAAGTGTTGAGGTATAGTTGGAGTAACGGACTGTGAAGATTCTATTTCTTGCCAAAACGCCTTATTTAACGAATTGATTAGATTTTTTATATGCGTAACATTGGTGGTCACGATGCCAATGGTCATTATTCCAAGTGCAGTGCTGGGAAATTTGACAGCTAAAGTTAGTTTTGGCCACCGTACGAAGTGGATAAATGGATGTCCCGTTATAAGATCACTTCCAACAAAAATATCCCTCTTAGAAGTTCTATTAACTTTGCTTTGGTGGATATCTTGGACGTCAGTCAATCAAACAGAGAAATTTCGATCTTTCAATAGATTTTGATAGGGGATTAATGGCGACTGGAAATATTTATTTATGAATCATTCAAATCTAATCGAATCACTCTTTATGCGACCAACTAATAGAAATGAAGGAGAAATTCTACTATTAATGACAAATAATTTCACTTAAGTGGCTTTAGAAAAAAAACCAGTTTGTTTTGCAGTCACATTAATAACGTAGACAGTGGTTGGTTTGAAATTGATACCGTGTAGGCTGCACGTTTAGACAAATTAATTTGATAAATTGGACTGATTCCGCTCTGTCCTTATTCACACCCACTTTTAGTGTAATTTTTAAAAATAAATAATGCCAATTCTGGGGTTTGAAAACCGGAGCAAATAATGAGGAAACCAACTTATCCAGCTTTATGGTTAGTAAGGGCAGGGAGTCTTTGTTCAATGTCTCTCAAATTAACCACAAAACCACTATTCTGACTTTTAACAGGCCTCTGGTTAACCCCTTTCTCTCTTAGATTCGGTCTGTGGGACACGTCATCGCTTAACGCATCATAGCAGCACTCACGTCAGTATTGGGAGATGCGGCCGTACAACCAATGGCCAACCAGAAGCCTCCATGTTGATTAGGATCAAGCTCCCTGAGCGTACACTTTACCCATACTGTACTTTCTGAATAAATGTGTTCCGTGCTATATGTCTGTTTCCTCTATAGCTGGGCTATAGCTTAACTAGCTCTGGGAATCTAGGTAGATGTTGGAGAATCTGCCACAGAGATTTCTAAGCTTACTAGTGTAGCGATCCGCTACAGGTCTTGGCGACTAGATTTATCAAAAACGTTATGAGTTACTCAAAACCGAAATAATTTTTAATTCACACACACACACACACTTGTCGCAATGTCCACAAATTCCGAAGACAGTATCTTATCATAAGGGGATATGAGTTGGATCACTTAGATTCCAATTAGCACCCCTGACCTCTTCTAATTGTAAATGTGTTTGATAATGTCCACCTCTACGTGTATATGTGAAATCCACCTTTTGTTTCAATACACACGAAAGCGACGGTAAAATAAATGTGCAATTAAAGTTGTCACAGGGTAATGAAAATTTCAAGACTAACATTTCAGTGACCTATAGCAAAATGTTTTTTTGGTGAAAAAAAATAAATAAATAATTTTAACGTGTTTGGAAGGGCCTAATACCGAAAAAGAATAATAATTATCATAATAATGCTTTGGGGTGTGTGATAGACTTACCTCCACGTGGTGCACCCTGGGCAACGTATACTCATACGGCAAAAAGTCTATTAACTGGCAGTTGACTTCTCACTTCTAACTACCGTGACCCTACTATTTCTCATATTCGGCTACCTCCACAATACTCACCCGCCTTTTTTCTACCTTTGTGTTTGTTTCTTTTACATTTTTGAAACACTCTTCTGTCTTTTTCACCTTTATGTTCCTCCTCCTCTGTGAAGCCTGAAGTCAACTAAAGGGCTAATGATAACTATCAAAACGCCTGACATTTGATATAAATAAATAATAATGCGTTAGTCAATGATAAAATATTCAAAGGAAGCTAAACGAACTCAGTAAGAAGTTTTTTTCCAGAGGCCATAGACAGTTGGATACGTGGGGTAAACAATTCCAACACTAATGAACTTAGAAATCTCATACACTCTTCAACATTCTGAAGGATGCGGTCGTTCGTGTGTGAAGGAGATGTCTCAGTTAATCATGCATTGAGTTTCATTCAAGTTACGTTAACTTTTTCAATCACTAATCTTGCTTACGGTGAGCTTAAACTCCTGATTCACTCTACATCTATTTCTTCCATATCATTGATATAGCTTAATTCATTTCGGGAGCCATTCTGTACTTGGATATTTGACCATAGAGATTCGTTCATCGATCCGCCACAAAACTCCATAACGAAATAGGAAGATTTCTGAATATCAAGAAAATATTATCCTATTGTTATTATACATAATTATGTATATTGTTGTAACAGATATTACGCTTCCTTCCAATTGATTGGCATTTTTTTCTGTTTCTGTTATGAAGCACCATAGTTATTCATTTTCATTCAAAATCAAAAATTAAAATGTTTCATTGAAAGTAAGTTAAAAATTAGAGTACAATACCGTAGATAATAAGCAATTTTTAAAGATTAAAATAATAAATAATCACAACTTTGTCATATTTATCAAGGCAGCATCATATTCATTAAGTTGATCAGGAGTTCCAAATTCTTCCCTAAAATTAAAAGCATTTTAATTTAGTTTTGAGTTGTGGGACACGTTATCGCTCTGAGCGCCATCGTATGCCTGCATGTCTGCTCGCCAGGATTGGGAGGTGCGGCCGTACAACTCTGTGTGCAGCGACCGTACAAACAGTGACCAATCATCAACCTCCATTTGTTTAACCTAATCCCCCACCCTGATCATGAGTAGCTTCCTGCGTGTACACACTTCATCCGCAATATACGTCCTGAATAAACGTGCTCCGTGGTACGGCTTAGCTAGTTCTGGGAGTCTAGCTAGATGATGTAGGAGAATCTGCCATAGAGATTTCTGAGTCAGTCACTTAGGGAGCAATCCGCTACAAGTCTACAAAACAATATACATAACTTGAGTCAATTGTGCATGTTAAGGGCATTAGATCAGTTGTAAATTGAAAATATTGATTAACTGATTTTAAATTCTTCCAGCAAATATGCTCACAAGTAATAACAAACGAAATACACAATGTGATCTTATAACCTACTACCTATCACTTAAGACACACGGTTTACTTCTTGCTTTTTCTTTTTGTTTAATTTTGCCATACATCAAATCACCTTCCATATGTTTACTTTGAGACAAACATCAGAAGCAATTGGAAAAGTGATATCCTAGTTGGATTCAACGAAACATATTACCAGGTTTTTAACTTCCTTAAGTACACTAAAACACCTTAAATGTAAGAACTGAATAAACTGAACGAACAGCGTACCTTTTAACGAAGTAGGCGCCAAGAATGACGACTGTGAGCAAAATGACGAGAAAGAGAATGACCATCACCAAAATTCCTATCCTCCAGCAAACCTTTGAACCAGGTCCCGTGGTGAGTTCACTGACGGAGATTGAGGGTGTGGATGGTGCGACCTCTTCTGATGGATCCAAAATGTCGTAGTCCATTTGTGTTGTTCGTGATGTGTGTGAGGAGAGAAAATTGACAAGAGGATTCGAGCGATATTCATTACTACCCGTAGCACCAATGGTGTAGAGAGAATGTGCTCGTTGAACTGAAGGGTAAATTCAATTCGCATAATCTTTAGCGGAACAAATTGAGGTATGCAATGTCGAAACATTTGCTAATACGCGTTCTTCCAATACCCCGGAGGTTAATAATAAATGAATTCCTCAAATTCTTATTGCCCGTCAATTCATATATTGCATCCACGGGGGTGCGCGATAGGAGGCACTAGCAGCACTTGATTTATAAATGAAACTATTGTGTATCATTGGGAGGGGGGGGGGGAGGGCGATGAGGTCTATTTCGTTAATTCTGTACAAACATAACCCCAATTTCGCTATCCCTTGCTACACACAGCAAAACACTTCCAAAGAGTTGACGGGCTCTAGGTCGTCAGGAGTTATTATGTATTCGAAATAAGTATGCCATCCACAGGTTTATGCCTCACCTCAAAAGGAGCGATCTCATAAAGTAACTTCTAAATCGCCCATCATTCGTACTAATTTGTTAGACCACGCCACTTAAGGGAAAATACAAGTTAGTAGGTACGAAGCTGGCATATCGGTGTGGCAATGTTTCAGTTGTCAATACAAATATTTCTACAAATAGACCTTGACTATCATTGATAAAATGACAAGGGTAATAGTAAATTCTGTCTAAGGCCACTTATAATTTAGCGTCGTAAATTTGAATTGTTAACATCTCAACAGTAGAGAAGTATTCCCATTTGAAATATGTTCATTAGTTAGTTTTTGTTGTTTATTTCTCCGCGATGCATCCACGCGGGGGATAAGATAATAATAAATAGTTCTTTGACTACGATAGGCATTGGAGAAAATTTGGAATCTGAATTAAATTGGCGTGCTTCTAAAGGTATCTTTTGTGTGTTATTTCGCATGCACTCCCAGCAAATCGTATTTTGTAATAAATTTCGTTGGATCATAATAGTTAACGTGCACGCGAACACAGGTCTCTGGCTTTAGAAAGAGAAATTCACTCCTTTGTTTGTTAATAAAGTATTTTCGACTTGGCACTGATTATATTGACTATTTAAGATATTATTATTATTTCAAATGGCAGGCTTTATGATATTTATCACTAGCCCTTAAACTTTGACTTCAGCTTTCCCCAAGAGAGGGGGTACATTTATAGCAGTTAATTAATAGCAGTTCATTAGCTTTCTGCCTGCTTCCCAGTATCTCTGGCTTTCCGTCCTTGTCTTTAGAGCTGGACACCGAATCAGGTGGGTCTTCCCCATTTCCTCCTGTAGGTTAAATAGGGGACATGTGGATTGAGTGTATACTCCCAATCTGTGAAGGTGTTTTGGCAAGCAATCGTGTCCGGTACGTAGGCTAAACTCAGCAACGGCTTCGATTCTTGGCCAGTCGGCAATGTCGGAGAGTGCCACTGTCCACCGTTTCTCCTTTGTTAGAGCTTTGAGTTCGTTGCATCTTGAGGTCTGGAATTCTCTCCTGATTAAGGCCTACATTGTGTGGAAAGACATCGGTCGGTCCATGCATTGCAAAATCGTTATCCCCTTCTTAGCAAGTGTGTCAGCAAGCCCATTGCCTTTAATGCCACAGTGACCAGGAATCCATTGTAGGACAACTGTTTCGTTTTTCTGACTCAGCAGCTGATAGAGTTTTCTACATTCCTTTATCTCAGCTGTTTTGGGTGGCTCTCTGTTTCCATGGGAATGCGCAGTAGCTTCTCATGCAGGATCAAGGCCTTTTCTTTGATAAGGGAACATATTGTAGTGCTTCCTGTAACTAGGAGCATTGCATCAATGGGTGTTGATTTTATACCTCCAGTAATTAGTCGTAATGCTTGGTTTTGTGCCTTCTCGAGTGGTTCGAGAGTCACCTCTGTGGCTGTAATGAGTGGCTCACAGCAATACAACATTATTGGCTGAATAAACATCTTGTAAGTGGTGTTGAGAGTTGAGCGTGCACAGCCCCATACGCTACCAGCAAGACGCTTCAGTACATTCAGTCTATTGGAGACTCGTTCTGCTATTTTAGCAATGTGACTTTTCCACGTTAGCTTTGTGTCAAACGTCATTCCGAGATAAGTGAACTCAATGGTTTTTTCTAGGGTAGTATCCTTGTTCCTAAGAATCGCGTTTAAGTTGTGATGGGCCAAAGAAAAAGTTTGGAATGCAGTTTTCGCGGTGTTGGTTACCATTCCATTGTTGTCGCATCAGTTCGTTAGTAGTTTAAGTGCACAATTTAGGGCACTTTCTGTCCTCTTCTGAGCGTTTTTCTTAGGGGCAGAATACCGTGGAACAAGATCATCTGCATAGAGTAAGCACTTGATGCCCGTGACTGTCTGTACCGATTCGGCTATATCATTGATGAAGACATTGAAAAGAGTGCAGCTTGTGACAGCTCCCTGTGGAAGGCCTGTTTGTAAAAGATTGAATTTTGATAGAGCATTTCCATATCTGACTTTACATGCTCTTTGTCCAATGAATGCTTTTATCCAGTTTAGTATGTTATGCTTAATACCAATCTTTGCCAATTTTAGAAATAGCTTCTCTTTCTATACTAAGTNACTAGCAATGACTGGTTTGTGACCAGAACCAGGATCGTCAATTATTTTGCTAAGTGTAAGCTCGCTGATGTCGTTTGAAGCCAGGAGCAAGTCAGGAGTTGTTCTGGTTCCATTGTAGTGCAAATATGTAGCCGGATCCTCATTGCTGTAAATAAGTTCCAGAGGGTTGCTGTTTAACATGTCTTTGATTTTCTTTCCAGCTATGGTTGCATCCTTGTAGCCCCATGTGGTGGAATGGGGGTTGAAGTCTCCTAATACTACAGTTTTGTGTGAGATGTTCAGAAAGTCAAAGTTGGGACAGTTCTGGGATGGATTATAGACTGCATATATCTTGAAGTGGTTTTGACATTTCCAAATATTTAATCTGATTATTTCACATATGTCTTGCGTTGAGCCCATACTCTTAGCAGTGTGAGGTGAGGCCTTCTTTTACTCCAGTTAGAATTCCACTTGCAACTTGCCGGTATTTAGGTAGAAGGTAGAGGGTGTAACCTGGGAATTGGTAGTACTTCAGTTTGTCATCCGAAATGTTAGCTTCCATAATTGTGAAAATGCCTACATTATAGGTTTATAGGATTTTCTGTACTTGGATCTTTTTGTCCTGTGACATGCCTCCAGCATTCCACTGGAGGATCTCAAGACGTTGTGATTCGTCCTGACGAGGGCAATTTCTCTTATAGCCTTGTTTCAAGCTAATCATAATAAATAGAAGTCAAATCAACTGCTGAGTGATAGACATTTTTGCCGTATGAAGATACGTTGTCCAGGGTGCACCACGTGGAGGTAAGTCTATCGCGCACCCCGCGTTGACAAAATTTGAAAGCGTTCTTCACTGGGTTGAATAAGTTATGAAGTGCTCTATCCTATGTTATCACCAAGGAGCGTGTAATAGGCTTACCTCCACGTGGTGCACCCTGGGCAACGTATACTCATACGGCAAAAAAAGCCTATAAACCGATGGTTGACTTTTGACTTCAACGCAAAAAGGTCTATTAACTGGCAGTTGACTTCTCACTTCACAAAAAATTATATTAACTGGCAGTTGACTTCTCACTTCAAACTACCCCGTCAATTACCTGGCAGTTGACTTCAAACTACCATGATCCCCCTATAAACCGATGGTTGACTTTTGACTTCAAACTACCATAACCCCACTGTATGTCAAATTCGACCACTTATACAGTACTCGCCTTACCTTACCTTTTCTCTACCTTTGTGTCTGCCTGTCTCCTTTACATATGTGAAACATCCTTCTGTTCCCCTCTTCACCTTTTATGACTTTGATGTTCTTCCCTTCTGTGAAGCCTGAAGTCAGTTAAAGGGCCAATGATAACTATCAAGACAACTGTCATTTGAAATAAATAATTGTTTTTACCAAGATGACTTCGTTCGTAATATTTAGTTTTACTGAATGAGGAGTTTACGTTTACGATTGCTGAAGCTTAGCTAGACTCAGTCAGAAGTTGAACCACTCAGACGGTTGTTTAATAATTATAAAATATCACTGTTTCTACATGCATGGCCTGGAATTATGCAAAACCCCCCAAGTCTATGGGTAACTAGCATTATGATGGCGTAGTGATTTCATTTCACAGTGTCACGCATTTTACAAGAAGACGAATATGTTTGCGAGCAATGACCGCATAGTAGAATAGACTGCCATTTAAACCTGGCTGTTTGATAAAAGCCGGTACCTTTAAATATGTGCATTCTAAGGGCATCTTCAAACGAATGATAAATAGACGTTTGGCGAGAAAGAATGATCTCGAATTCCACTAATTATCAATAATGATCATCAGGCACACTTGAAAGGCGTGCACAAAAGAGAAATTATATGTGTGGTTCTCGGTGTCATGAACTATTTACAAATGAAAGCGAGACGAGAATACGCTAGCAAACAATTGGTAACAAACCCAAAATGGCCTACAGACTGTCCAGTGGATGGTGTTACAAGAACTTGTGGAAAGAGAATGGGGGAGGGGGGGGGGAGGATTGAAATGAGGTGAAGATTTGGAACCCTGATTTTGACCATGAAGACCAACAGGAATGGAAAAGACATAACTTAACAAAGCTGCATATGAAAGTGCCGATGACCTGATAATTCCGCCCCTGATGCATTATGGTTTCCTTAGTTCCTTGAATATCACTTTTGCAGCCTGATTACTCTCAAATATCACTATAAAAGTTCGCACATTCCCCTTGAAACAAAGTTGCAGAACTTTTTAGCCTTATCGCGGGAAAAAACTATTGGATTTCTTCAGCTTTCAAACTAATTGCTTTTTTTTTAGTTTTATTCCATAATATAAGAAAAGGCATTTGATGTACTATCTGTTCCTACCCCTGCCAGCCACATTTTTCATTAATATTTTGAAATTTAGCAGAATTCTAAATTCCACCTCTTCGAATTTTATTCATAGTGCGAGCCTTACCTTGCATAGGTTTAATTGGAAACGATAATTTCAATTTTTGGCGTTACTGAGTGAGACTTACTTTGTCTAGTAAGTGTGGAATATTTGTAATGAAGGCTTCTCAGCCAAAGGGCATACCAAGCACTCGAGTCGTGTAAACGTGATCAAAGTCCGTGATCGAAATACTCAGAGTTTTTTTTAGGCTAGATGCCTGAAATCATGCGGTAATCATGCGACTAATCAATGAAAAGTACTACTTTACCATGACTTGACGTGGGACTTTGGTGATTTTACAGCAGCTGAATTCTCCAGTCCAGAAGCTTAAAGGGTTGAAAATAATTATTAAGCATGATTCCGCAGCTGGTGCAGTGGTCAACATGGATATATGGCCTGTGCGAAATCATGGGATCAATAACTATAATCAGTGGTATGGATGAGGAATCTCCCTGTCTAACTCTGGTCAATAAGAGGGGTGAGAGAATGTGAGTTTCTTCTACGTTCCGCTCCAAAAAAATTGTCCTTGCTACAATGAAAATGTAATGTAGCTTAATAAGTATGATATCATCAAATTGAAATACTCCGATACATATCACGACTGCTTTAATTTCATTTGGAGAAAATGATCCGATATGCTTTGGAATGAAGCATGGATTCAATGTTTGGAGTATGGGGTGTGCGATAGACTTACCTCCACTTGGTGCACCCTGGGCAACGTTTACTCATACGGCAAAAAAGTCTATTAATCGGCATTACCATCACCCCACTGTATGTCATATTCGAACACTTCCACTTTATTCACCTCACCTTTCTCTACCTTTGTGTCTATCTGTCTCTTTTAAATCTGTGAATCATTATTCTGTCCCCCGTCTCGGCATTTTGCCTCTTCGAATTTTCCCTTCTCACTGTAAAATCCGGAGTCAGCTAAAGAGGCCAATGATAAATGTCAAAAAGCCTGCCATTTGAAATAAATAAATAAATGTTTGGAGTATATCACGTGACATTAGAATGAAAGAAAATTTGAATAAAACTTGTAAATTTCTCTTCAACAGTGGAATATTCTTTACAAAGACACCTTCTCATTGGTAATTTAGGAAACAGAAGGCGATTTAATCAAATGGAACTTGAAATCTTTACAAGTTGCCGGTTTTCGTCTTATTTTCTTCCACTCTCGAAATCGTAACTGACTTTAATTAACTATTTAAAATATGCATCGTGGAAGCCAATTCATCAATCAATCGTATTTATCTTAATCACGTCATTTTGATACCATGGCCATTGTTTAAGTATTTTATTCCTAAAGTGGTTCAATATTTGACCAATCAGCCATGCCTAAGTCTAACCGGCATGAGTAACGCCTGAAAATTAAAGCCTAGCCTATCGAAAATCGAAGTCTTGAACCATATTTGAGAAAAAGTGAACCATCATAAAGGCGAGGATGTTTTTGTTTCCCTGACCTGAATATCAACTTTGATCTGAGTCCTTCTGTTGGCACTTTTCATTTACTACATATTGAACAAATATGTCCCATTGTGAGGCTTCATAATTAGTTCGAAAATATTTACTTCCATATTGATCATTTCTCGTGCATTTCAATGCACTTGTTTTCGTTATTTTCTTTCTCAGTTTGAAAATCTACACCATTGAGGCAAAATTACCATTAAAATATTTCCGATTGCTTGACCACTCAAAGGCTTTTTAGTTTACGTCATTTAATCGAAATTAGAAACAATTAATTATAATGCAGTGGATGTAGAAGGATTGTATCATTTTATTTTCACTGAATGAATTATATATATTCGCGAGAAATCCCACTCACCTAATTTGTTTTGAGCGCTAGGAGGTTGTGAAAGAGTAGCAAACGACTTTTGCACCATATTCTCCGAATTGGATGGACTGATTTTTTTGCCCAAAATACCCTTCTCCTCCTCCTCTACATTAACTTTGGCAATTTTAGGCAAAGAATTATACTTCATTCCCGTTAAAATCAACCGTTGTTTTGGTGATAGAGCATCCATTTGTTATCGAGGGTGTGGCTAAAACTCTAAATTATAAAAGATCATAGACTTTATTAATGATAATAGCATGTACAATATATCATGCTTCATTTAAGTAAATGAACTAGCTTATATATGTACATATCAGACACATTCTAGCACGTTGAAATCAAGAGTAAACCTATGAACTTACTCAGCTTAGATACGTTCGTAATCCACTAAGGGGAGGAGGAAGTGTGATGAACATGACATCAAGTACCGATCTTTACGCGAACCAATCCATTGAGTTATGACTGCGTTTGTGTTGGACTTTGATTCTGTAATAAACAGTTGAGTATATCCTTGGCTTAAAGAGTGTCAATCCAATTCGCAATATGTTCTCACTAAACCCCGTAGGGATACTTCGCTTCTTTTGGTAATTACACTGGTCCCCCTCTTCATGATCTAAATTGACCAGCCTATTTGGTCATTCACATCACTAGACATCCATAGATGAGCATTGACTTTATAAACACACAGAAGTGCAACTGTTGTAGCACATTACGTCAGGGATGATTTTTGAAGCCTGATTGGAATATCTTTCAATGCGCGAAGATGCACCAAAAATGCACTTACTGAATTCCTCGAAATATTTCTACAGACAATTCTTAAGAATTTGCACGTCTGGAATTTGTCGGTTGCATTGGATTGTAAACACACTTATCTGAGACTAATTTATGACGATAAACAAAGTGCCACCAGGTGGATTGCCAGACTATGTGACACTTTGGCATTCTTCCTCTCAGTTTTTGACAATAATTCCTACTATACTAGCTGATAATTGATTATTCGTGATATTTTTAATAAATAATTAGCACATAAGGGCATTGCAACTTCAAAGTAGGTTCAACAAAAGGTGAATAAAAAACGAAAAGTGGCGTAAATATAATTCAGGCTGCCATTGTGACATTACAAGTAGCTCATTTTATCAGCCTTTGCAAACGTTATTCGTAACCATGTGTGTAAATTGGGAATTTAATTCATTGGATACTATATGCTCTTTTCGGATATTGTCGTGATTGCAAGAGACTAAAGGGAGGTGAAAGTACAGTTGTGAATAATTATGAAATACTTTCTCTGACGAAATTAATGCCTTTACGTGTTTTGCCTTCCAATCATTATTGAACAGTGATTACCCCCTGAATTGGTATATGTGAATTAACCCTTTAACGCACATGGGACTGTACGGTCAACTTTCAAAATAAGCTTAATCGGTAGTAGACTCGTAACAGAAGGCGCTACTATTGCCGTTGGAAGCACGTCTATAGCCTTCAACGGATACCACCAAAACTCATTACGTCGACGGCATCTCGCTTAAGTGCGATTGGGAGCGTTTTTCAAAAAAAATTTTTCGGGCATTAAAGGGTTAACATAAAACACTATGCATAGTTCGAGGTAAGCTGGAATAATTTTTTACTAAAACTACAAGAACTTTGTCTTCCTACCTCGTTGCTGGAATTCCGGATAATGCATCATATAGGCTTCTTATTACCGTCTGAGAGTAGAGAGTTACTCTCGGAACAGAGTGCTACCAGCTTGGAAATAATGTACGATTTTCTAAACTCAAAGAATGGAAACCGCGCCCAGACACCTTGATTCTGGACAGCAAACTCTTGGCACCTCCCGGATCTCGGATGCTTGCATCCATCACCGCAATTTCATATTTCGAATTCGGGGTGCGCGATAGACTTAACTCCACGTGGTGCACACTGGACAACGTATCTTCATACGGCAAAAAAGTCTATCACTCGGCATTCGGGGTGTGGGATAGATTTACCTCCTTGTGATGCACCCTGGGCAACGTATACTCATACGGCAAAAAGTCTATTTACCGGCAGTTGACTTCTCACTTCAAACAACCGTCACCCCCACTGTATGTCATATTCGACCCCTACCACAGTACTCATCTTACCCTTTCTGTGCTTTTGTGTCTGTCTGTTTCTTTTACATCTGTGAATCACTCTTCTATTCTCCCTCCCGAATTCTTCTCACTTTGATGTTCCTCCTCCCCTCTACAAAGCCCGAAGTCAACTAAAGGGCTAATGATAACTATCAAAACGCCTGCCATTTTTTATAAATAAATATTTCGAATTCTCCATATTTAACCATCCCCCCCCCCATATGTTGCACTTTCCA